CTCCTCCTCTTCCTCCTCCTCCTCTTCCTCCTCCTCCTCTTCCTCCTCCTCTTCCTCCTCCTCCATCTCCTCTTCTCCTCCTCCTCATCTTCCTCCTCCTCCTCCTCTTCCTCTTCCTCCTCTTCCTTTTCGTCCTCCACTTCCTTTCTTCTTTCTTCTTGCTAGTGTTCTAAGCTAGTGAAAAGAGATGAAACCCCTCCATTATGGAGAGTGACTATGGTCTTAGAGGCATTTAAATTCTGTCAAGGAGGTGGAAATGCTGACTGAAGAGAGAACCCGTAGTAGATAAAACAAGGAGGTTTGCTTTTCACTGGGAACTAGGAGGGTTGTACTGAGAAGAGTAACACTGGACTTCCATTTTCATTACTACCACATAGCCTAGTGCTAAGTTTATGTCCCTTCCTTGTCCCCTCATCAGAGAAGCTGTTGGCAGACCTGTTGTTGTTGGGCCCTCATATTTAAAAAAAAAAAAAAGACCTAGGGGGCTGGAGAGATGGCTCAGCAGTTAAGAGCACTGACTGCTCTTGCAGAGGACCTGGGTTCGATTCCCAGCACCCACATGGTGGCTACGAAGCGTCCTTAACTCCAGGGGAATCCGAAGCCCTCTTCTGACCTTCGAGGTATTACACAACATGGGCGCACTCACATACATGCAGGCAGTACGCTCATACACATAAAATAAAAATAATAAAGAAAATACTTTTTACAAAACCTTTCTTGGGGCTGGAGAGGTGGCTCAGCATTCAAGAACACTGTGTTCTTACAGAAGATCTGGGTTCAAATCCCAGCACACACGTGGCAACCAACTACTGTCCATAACTCCAGTTCCAGGGGATCCGACACCCTCTTCTGTGCTCCACAGGCACTGCATGACATGGGTGCACCTACATACCTGCAGGCAGTACACAACTACGCATAAAATAAAAATAATAAATGATAAATATTTTTTACAAACCCTCTTTCCTTGACATGATCACTGGCCATCTTCAGTTTTCTTCGTTTCTCTGTTTTGGCCTTTTTTACCATCTACCTTAGAATAGTTTCAAAGTTGGCATCTAACCAGCCAGAACTTGAGAGCCACTTTACAGGGTGTGAGGGCTTCCTCTTTCTTTTCATCCTGTTCCTTGCCCACAGTGCCCAATCTTTTCTGGGTAAGATACAAGAAGATGCTAATTAAAAACATGACACACCCTTGATGCCTCTGCATCTAAGTAAAATGGTCTCCAACAGAAATATTCAGATCTGTATCTCAGCCAAACTGTGGCACTACTAAGATTCTACTAATCAAAACATTTTGTTTCTACTCTGTAAACAATAAATCAAAGCACAGCTGATACCGTGAATACCAGTTTTACTCTTGCAGAATAGCACTTGTGGATGGGAATGGATTAGATGCAGAAACAGCACAGAGAAAGAGATTGACGGCTTGCTTTCTTAATGCCGTGCGTGGCACTTGTTGTTTTCCAGGGGGCTCACTAAGTGGGTCCTTTTGAAGTCGTGATGATTTTCTCATTTCACAGATGAAGAAACTGAAGCTGGAGAGTCGTTAGGCCATGAACTGGGCTGCAGAGATGAACCTTCCAGTCCCCATCTGCTGTGACTGTCCAGTTAGAACAGGGCAACACAAGTGATTCAGACACAGCCTGGCTTTTTCATTATGTGGCCTGAGATTGTGTGCAGGATCTTCAGTCAGAAAGAAAGGCCGATTGGCCTTTACCAGAGGCATTTTAGAACACTGACAGGCACAGGGTATTTTCAAGGAGAAGCTCTCCTCCCAGCTTCTCTGACCGCCCATTGGTTCTTTTTCTCAGGTTTTCACTCTAGACATGAATGTCACAAATGTATTGTTATAAAATTGCCACTCTCACTTACTAGGAGTCTTCTTTTGGTGTTAAAAGAATGAGACTCACCCTCCATGTTTCATTAGAGTTACACTGAGCACCTGCTGTGTCTGCTTAAATTGATTGTAAAAATACTCTCTGCCGTAAAGCATTTGAACCATCACATTTTGTCCGCTTTCCGGGATTGTGGTTGCTTTCCTGGCACGTGGCGTTTTCTGAGTGAAGTTTATACTTCTCCCTCAGCCTCTTGTTAAAGCAAAAAGGGTTTTGATTCTCAGGAATGGGATCTTCTGTAGACGGTCTTCAGTTCTGTTCACATTCTCATCTCTTAGGAGAAGCAGCTCGCTGAGCGTATGTCTCATTCTGCCGTGGGTCACAGTTTGGTGCCCAGCAGATAGGGTTTGAGTGCCTGTCTCCTCAGGGCCGAGCAGCTAAACCACTCAGCGTGTCCCAGCCACAGGTCCAGTCAGTCTGTGCAGCGAGTGTACTTAGCTCTGTGACAGCCTGTGCTGCAGTCCCATTCCACCTCCTACTTGATGTCACTTCATCAAACCCTGCACTTTCTTGATTGGACTCTGTTTTAAAAAGTGTATTACTTTTTTCTTGAGCAATGAAGTTGCATACATGACATATTAATCTGAAATGAACACCAATTCCATTTATATGTCTCAAGTCCACAGTTGCATTGACTGTCGTCGATTTGGTGCACTGTGTAGTTTTTCCTGTACTTTGTCTTTTTTCCTTTTCTTTTTTCACTTTGGCGGTATTGTGTGTGTCAGCTGACGACCCCCCCGTCTCTTTACCCCCCACCCACCCACGCCCATCTACACCCAGACTCTTACGTCCTTGTTCGCACGTGACATTGGGCTTCTCCCCCCCCCCCCGCCCCGTCTCTCTAGCCACATGCATTTGCGTCTCTTTTCCCAAGTGACTGAGGGGAAGATGTCTGTACTGTGTGGGTCACACTAAATGATTCTGTTTGTGTTTCGTGGTGTTATTTGTAGTAAGCATTTGGAAATCAATGAATGTCTCTTGTTTTCTTAATTGTTAGCTGCTTGGAATTTTAGAAAAGTCAGGTAAACTTGTCATCTTGTAAGTATTGTTCAGACCACAGCTGCATCTCTCACTTCCATTTTGCTTTTTAAGTGCATGAAGGCCCCAAGTGGCCAGCCGCTGTGTGTTCTTCATTGCAAAATACGGCATCTACTCTAAATAAATGTTTTAATAGCTGCATGGCCTGGAATCTGGCTGTATGTTTTCCACGTTTGTTCAGATTACTATCTCACAAAAGAATGCTTTCTGTGAATGACATTTTAAGTTCTTTGGAAGTTATGAAAGACTTCCCTTCCCTCATTTTCCTTCTCTGAACTGTGGTTTGTCAGCATGACTCTAGCTCTTAGCCCCAGCGGAAAGGCTGACCTTGTTCATGTGCTGCATACAGCATGCTTCTGAGTCCTCCGGCCATTTATTTGTGTGTTTTATTTCTCATTTTGTTGCTTGATTATATGTATTGGGGGAAGGGAGAGTCCCTTAAAATGTATATTTCCGATGAAGGAATGGATTAAGCGGAAGAAAGTGTGCAGTAGTATGATTCCTAGAGAGAGAGGAATCTGTATGTGAGTGTGGGCCTGACGAATGGGGACAGTGCCTCCGGGACATTCCCGGCCAGTGCTACTTCACACCACCTCTGGATAAAAGAAATTGGGCGTATCTATAAGTGTGGAGGTCACAGGAATTTTTGTTTATTTGTTTGTTTTCATCTTCGTGAGAAGAAGGTCTCAACCATATCACGTCAGCTTGATGAAATGGGAAAGACAGAATTTGCAGAACATTCATGAAAACTTCAAACTTCAAACAATTCCAGCAACTGCAAACACTAATTTCCCATAGATATAATTCTGATGTTCATAAATGCCTGTGGTGATAGAGTACTCATTTTGTGGATAGCTTTCTGTCTTCTTATTTTAAAGTTCTTTTAATATAAATTCACATTGTATTCTAAAATGAGTTTCTGATCATAGGCATCATATAAAACCTAACCATATTAGAATAGAATGCATTTGACTGAGAAATCATTCCTACATTTGAAAGAGGAAATAAGTCACAAAAGAAACAATTGATGGGACCGTGGAGGTGGCTCAGTTAGGAAGACACCTGCCACACAGGCACGAGGACCCAAGTGCAGCTCCCAGAACCCAAGCAAAAAAGCCAGGCTTGGTATGACATGTGCTTGTCAGTCCAGCCCTGGGAAACAGAGACCACTGGATCCCTAAGGGCTGCTGGAAAGCTAGGGTAGTCTAATTGGGAATAGGTTTTGATGAATTGGTCTACCTGAAAGACTTCTTAGCTATAAGACTGTAACTTAGGGATAGGAAGACATTTATGTCTCATATGAAGAAAATCTCCCCTTAGCTCTTATTTAGAAATCCCTTCACATCACTGAGAAAAAGATGTACATCACAGCGTGGAGAAACCCAAAATACATGGTATCCAGAAATAAGAGAGGGACTCTTACTGTGAAGCTGTTTCAGCCTCACAGGCCCTTCCGGAAGTATAAAAGCATTTTAACCTATCAGATTCTTAAGAGTTTTAAGGAAAATATTAAATGTTGACAAATAGTGCAGGGGAGTGTGAGTATAAACTGTTAGGGACTGTGATTGGAGAGAATATGGTGATGCCATTAGAAGCTTTAAAGCATACATATGCTTTTTGCAGTTCTATAGCTTGAAATTTATCCTTTAAAAGAAAAACCTCATTGATCTGCACCAAGTATCAAGCACACGACTATTTCTCACATTTTACAGAGCAGCACCGAGTATGCTGAAGGCACCGTTCCAAGCACATGTAGAAGCAGCTCACTTGGGCCTGCACTGCCAAGCGTCTGTCCAGGCAGCCATCATGGCCAGCCTCTTAGGTCAGGTGCTTTCAAAATGCTTATTCTTGACAATTTTTATAATAGTTATGTGAGGTGTAGGATGTCATTATCAATATCCAACAGATTGTTAAGCTAACACTGGGAAAAATTAAGTATCATACCCAAGACCACATGGCAAAGAAGTGTTAGAACTAACTAGCAATGCCAAACATGGGCAGTTTGTTAAGTATCTATTATGAATCTGTAGGGGAAATATGTTCTAAGTAAAAATCCTCTGGAAATAAAATAACAATGGAATGTGTTCTTGTACATATGCTAAAGATCATAGTATTCTATTAATGTGTATATATAGAGCCATAAATGCATTGCAGTGCGATTGAGAGATTACACCTCAAAATGCCAGGACTGATTATCCTTTTGTGGTGTGGTTACTGTAATTTTCTTTCTTCTGCTTTCTTGGAATTCCAAAGGAATGCCATAGCCATTGGTGAACATTTTTGTGTCAGTGGCCCAATAATACAGGGGATCCCAAAACCATATAATTTCAAAAATATTTATGGAGTTGGGAACATTTAAATAATACAGCACAGATGATGAAGGGATTCTCAAACGATGCATATTACTATTATTCAGCTTACATTTCAGGCCAGATTTTGTTTTCTTTGTAAATTTTCCTGTGTTGTCCATGCAATTTGGGTTGTATTCTGCTACTGATACCTAAAGAACGACACCAGGAGAAAAGTCTTTTACATGTAGGCCAGACGTTTGCAAACTGGAAGCCAAGCAGCAAAAGTGATGGAGCGGGGTTGCTGCTTTGTCTGATTGTTGCCTCCAGGCTAATGTATCTACAGGCAGTTAATATTTCAGTTCTCTGTACAAAGGCCTGCTCGGTGCTCTATCTCCCTGAGGCATGTTAGCTCAGCACTGAACAGTTAAAGGCAGTATCATGTGCATTAGCACAAACATAAAACAGCTAAACCAAAATGTCCAGTTACGTTCTATAATTCTTAGAGAATCCAAGTCTTATACTCTTGGAAGGTGCTATTAGTGGTTTAAGGGAAGTTTAAAAATACCAGCTTTCCTACACTACTGGTACTAAGTTATTTAAATAGTGACTCTGCTTCCCAGAATTTCTAAGTGATAGAGGCATTTTATCCTGATGACCCCTAGGGAACCTTTAGTTCTGCCTGTGAAACCAGAAGAGAAAGTAAAAATACACAGAAATGAATCAGGAAACACGGTAGTTGCTCACATCAACCCTTCACTACTTTCCATATAAAATGCAACTGGGCTGTGCTGTCAGTGAGGCAGTTTCTAAGATGGGCAGGTGAAAAAGATGACCAGGGCTAGCACAGTAGGTACTCAGGTTTGATTAGATGTATCATTTTGATCTGTGGCTTTTACTTCTTAGAAAAGTAGTGGCTGCCACATTTATTTGGCAGCAGCAGATAGGCTAGGCACTAAATTACATGTGTGGTTTCACTCAGTTTCTTACTGTTACTTTCGGTTAAAGTAAGCCTATCCAGACCCACAAAGCATGTGACTGGACGTAAATACTAACCCATGTGTGGATGACCTCAGGGTATCTGCTCCCTCCATCCACCGCATCCCCCTCTGACGTCCATAATAAACTGTAGCTTTTCAGCTATGTTTTGACTGTTTAATAACTTTTCTGAAGACCAAAATTTCATGCCATCCCTTACTGGCTGTCTGCTGGTACGAATGCGTGCCTGGGACAGCACATGATTTAAGAGTGACTGTGGGCTCCTCACATGCTTTGTGGCCCGTGCTGTTTGTTGGCATTTTTCCTCAGGTACCATAGACACATGGCCGGCTTTGACAGGCCAGGGCCTGAGAAGCTTTTGGCATGCAAACGCTTTCCATCCCTTGATATTTCAAATGGGTGTGAGACTAAACTAGAAAAGGAAAAGTGGGAGAAATGAGACCGTAAACCCAGGAGGCCGCTCACGTACTCCAGTGGACACCCCTGCTGTTCTCCTCAAATTCTTAAGGATGCTAACTTTTTCTGAACTCTTAGCACTCTCTCTGACCTACTTTAATTATTTTTCACCACATAATATGTGCATATGATATAAAATTGAAAATATTCACATATGACAGCTGTGGAGTCTCCACACATGTATCTTATAGGTGACTGGGAGACTGGACAGCTTTGAGGCAAGACGCCCAGCTCAGCTGCAGTGTCCTGTCTCCTCTGTATGCCTTGGGAGAGGCTACTGTCCGTGAGATAGTGCTGCGAATAACTAATGTGACCTGTTTTGCCTCCTGGGCAAAGGTCTAGGCTAGGCCAGGATGGCAGTCTGATAAGTGAATGGAATCTGAGCATACCTGCATGGGCCGCTTGGTCGGTGTGTCAGCTGTGCATGCTGGGCAGGTGGGATGGGTACTACCCCTTGTCAAGTACTTTCATTATCTGTATATATGTACAAATACACAATACTAGAGACATTCAGACAGTTTTGGATTATTGCCAATATTTTGAAAGAAACAGCAAAGGCATTTCTACAAAATGTAATGTAATAAAAAATAGAGTATAGATTTACTGGGATGAGAAATGTGAATTCTAAGACCTGAAAGGGGCAGTCAGGCCTTTCTTCACATTTGGTACTCTCCAAGTGACAGGAAACAAATGCTAGTCTGTTATTTTTTAAATGTTTTTACAGCAATTATGGTTAAACTCCACAGCTAAATATATAAATTTGAAATTCTTATATTCTTAAAGAATAAAAGAATTGTGAATGAAATTTAACTATGTAGCAATTTTGCAAATATACATTCTTTTTATATTATTATATACACAAATACACTTTTGAGTAAAAAAGGACAGCGGATATATTCAGACATCATTAAGGATCCACGATTCTTGGTCTTCCTCCAGTGGGAGGCCCTAGCATAGTACTTTTCCATGTGTTAGAAAGTCATCAATAGATCCCTTCATGAGCCTTTTCTACTTGGAGTGGTAAAGACCAGAAGAGTCTAGAGCTTTATGGAGAATATTGTGTCTGGGACCAAGTTATCCACTCCACTTGGTTCAACTTTCCTGACTCTAAAACTCACGGCTCGTTTGTTCAAGAAAATCACTGAACTCCATTCACCCTCTGTGTTGAAGACCAGATGTACAAAGTTCAGTTAACTTTGAATCGCTTACTTAAAAAAAAGAGAATGAATTTTGATGTGGATATAGCTGTTGATTCATATGTAGGTATTGGTTTAACAGAAGCTCATAGGGGAGAAGATGGATATGTATATTTACCAATGTTACCTTTTGTTAAGGTTGTATTGATTTTGTGTTCGTCAAGAGAAAATGAAGTTGCCCAGTTAATTTATGGTGACTGAAAGCTATTGAAATATACATAGTACCAGTTGATGTATAATCTGCCAGGTCCCTCCCTCCCTTTCTTGACCCTGGAGCATGAGACCATTGAAGCTAACAGGGAAGGCCTTGAACTGTGTGCTTAGTATCAGTTTAACCTCTGGCCTAACTTTTTAAAGTAGAATTCTTTAATTCCCTTTGTCTAGACTAGCATACTTTAACATTTAACAGATTCAGCTCTTTTAGGTGTCAACAATGAAAAGCAACATTTTTCAGAATGGCATATATTACTTATTATTTGAACTATATTCAGACCATGTTTAACATTTCGTATGATATAATTAATATATGGTCATCAGTGCGATTTAAATTTATGATATATTTTGTGCATCTTTTTCATGCTGTTTGATAAACAGAATACCTTGTCCCAACCCATATCCCTCCTCAAAACGGGAAAAAGAAAGATGTGTTTTCTTTCCCACTGTAGATTGGCGGGTGCTGCAGCCTCACTGTGTTCTGTGTACGTGACAACAAACTAACTCGAATTCCTGCAGAGGTGTCACAGGCACTGGAACTTCACGTCCTGGACGTGGCAGGGAACAGGTAAGAAAGTCCTGACTTGCCTTGCTGGAGAGAAACAAATGTACATCCATTCCCATTCTTTGCCGTGCATCCCTGCAGTTCCTGCTCGGCTGCTTAATTGAGCAACCCAGGCTCCAGACAGTTCTTAATGGGAACTGGAGGATTTGAGCCAGAACAAAAGAAACCGTCAGCACAATCCTAGCATAAGCTACTTCAGAGCAGAAATGCTTCCCAGAAAGATAGAACCTTCTAAAACTACCCCAAGAACGCAGCACGGAGGTTTTACCTTAGTTTTTATTATTACTTTTCTAAATCACAGTGGGCCTTAGAGACTCTTTATCACCTAAATGAGCTTGTATCAGTTTGAGGTTTTTTTTTTTTAACTCCCTGGTGTCTCGGTATGTGTTGCCCAGGATAGGCCCAGGCCATCCTTTGTCTTGAGCCTCCCAGGAAGATGGGCCAATAACTACATACTACCACACCTGGCTGAACTAATTCTTAAATATGGGCCTTGATATGTTGTGCTAGTCACTCTCAACCTCTTGAATTTGTAAATAAAATTTATATATGTATATGAACATTTTTAGGGTGAGAGGCCTTTTAGCCAATGTCATGGCCATGTGATTTAGAATCAAAGAATGACTCAGGGCCCCAGGTTGGTATCCCATGACCCAGCAGCACTGTTCCCTAAGATCTGAGCTGCTCACTGCCCAAGCTTCATGAATGCAGAATACAGTCTTATTTCCAACCCTCCAAGCTCATTTCAGCACTCAAGTGCCTTGTGTACCTTCTCCCTGGGCATGCTCAAGCTGCCCTTCTACCTGGGACCCTGTCCTTGCCTTCGCTACTCATCACCCGCAGTTTATTTTCTGCAGGAAGCTTCCCTCTGGGTCCTTGTAAAGAACTTCCTTTGTAATGATTGCCCTGTGCACAGCCCTTCTGCACTGGCCGATACCTAAAGGTGCACAGTCTGGTTCTGTGTCACTGTATCTGTCACTTTTCCCATCACAGTATCTGGCACACCATGGATGTCTGGTAAATACTTGACTGAATGGAACTGCTGTTAGTTTTGTGGAATGTGCAGTACCATGATGTGTTCTATTGCAGGCTTTGTTTCGGACAGGAATTTAAAACTGCCTTTCAGTGTGACAGGGAAAAATAAGAGAAAAAGCAGAAAAAATGTTTAGTGATTTCACATGGTGAAGCCAATAGTGTCAAGGGCAGTGGGGCACTAGTGCCTGCATATTGATTAGCTGATCACTGAGGTCAGCACCAGCTTTCATTCTTAGTAATGGATCCTAGACAGCTGGGCTAAATAATCTGGAACTGGACTTGAGCTATGACCTCAGAGTATGTACATTTTCAAAGAATGCTTTCAGGGCATCTCGATAGAGTTGCTGGGAATGAGGATTGATTGGGACTGTCGGTTTCTGTTGGAGTAAACCCAGCCGCTCACCTGAGCCTGGGAAGTGCTCTTCTTTCCCGCCCCTGTCCTGCTGCCGGGGATACTCAACAAGCCCTAGTTCTTGCTACACTAGTGAGCGTGAGTTCCCATTCTTAATTCTTGAGCAGAAACATGGCTCCACTGTCTAAAAACAATTTCACATGAGTAGAGGTGTCACTCACTCTGCAATTCCCAGAAGAAAGTTAAATTTTTATTATGCTTGGGCCTGGGTGGAAAAATCCAATTAAGTTGAGTTACATTGCTGTCATCTGAGTCAGGTAGATGTACCATTTAGTCCATGCGTATATAGATTCATAACTAAGTTTAAGCCTATTAAAGTGTTTAATCACTACTTGTTTAAAAATATTGGTATTGAAACTAATAAAAACTAATAAAACTAATTTTTTTAAAAAGTACCACATGTCAGTGTTGTAGCTCACAAACACCTCACACCCTGGGAAGTCACTGTGAATTCAGGTTTCTAGCCTTCTCCTGGGTACATAAAAATAGCACCTGCCAGGCAATACTGCATGTTATTTTGCAAAATATTTTTTATATAAGTCTCGACAGGATAAGTTATAGGAAGGGTGACTCTAAAGTACCACTTGTAAACTAGGAAGACCTCTTTAACATTGAGAAGAGTCCTGTATCATTAACTACTCGGGCACAGAACAGAATCCCTTAAACTTATTAAACTCTTATTAAACTCTGCCTAGAAATACTCATCAGTACACAAAATTGGGTGCTTGGGGATCTTACTTCAATGTTAATAGTACCAAATACTAGAAACAGTGTTTGTCAATGGGGAAATAAAATATAGACATTTGAGCTTTGTGTGTGTGTGTGTGTGTGTGTGTGTGTGTGTGTGTGTGTGTGTGTATGCTAATAAAACAAAAAATTTAGCTGTGGAACAACTAAATGGAACAGTTCTGTTAGGAGAGGAGGGACAGAGACTTGAGGGTGCATGGCGTTTCAGTGTTAGAGATTTGGTACTTAATTTTTCTCAGTGATTGTGTTCTAAACATTTATACATGTCAAAGATGTTTTGAGAACTGTCCTTGAAACTAGAAAATTCTACTTGGGAGTAACAAGCAGATAAAATATTAAATTGTAGTCATATTCAACCATTGGTTAATACTACATTAACCGGTAGGCCATGCTTAGTTGTTAAATATTTTTGACAAAGCAATTGCTATATATTCTTGGGGCTTGTAAGGTCACTCGAGGTTGGACTGGCCATAGACACAACGGGAAGCAAAAGACTCACAGTGGTTGTCTGTTTGTGCTAGTCCTCTTGCCATCCGTGCAAACAGTAACTACCATGTTTTTACTCCTGGGCGATTTGGTCTTAAATAGAACAGAGATGTGTGCAGATGGGGCTGTGGTTTCTTCTGCTGATTCTGTTTATTTGGTAGTCTACAAAAGGTGCCAAACTAAACTTAAAAGGTATTAACTCCTTTGGAAAGCCAGAACCTGTTTTTTATCCATTTTCTGACTTACAGGTTGATGACCTTCCTAGGGAAGTAGAGGAGAATGTATGCCTTTTCCCAAGCTACAGTGTGTCCTGAGAAGCTTGGCCTGCCAGCAGGATCTGTGTGGCACTGTGTAGGGACAGGGGCACTTCTGTGCACAGAACAGTTGAGAACAGGCTGGTGTGTGGTGTAGACATGGCCAGCAGCATCTATGTTCAAGTTTGTGCTTGGATTATTTGCATGAAAACTACTGTTTCAGGCTGCTCATTAATATGTGTTGGAATATGATTATAAGCCCTGCTGTTGTGGAGTCTAGTAATTTATTTTGGCTTTTATCATCTGCTTGTCATCCTTAGAAGCTGTTATTTGTTAGTGTTATTTTTAGCCTTTTACATATACCTTTGCTTGAGTGCTCAGCTGAGAAGCCAGTGATTACTGAGGAGCTATGGTGAGCAGACTGTCTGTTTTCAGATCTTGATTTTTTTCACCCCTTGTACTGCTGTGGTTAAGAAAGGCAGAGATACTGACTATAAGCGTCTTGATCAACACTTGAAAAATTTAACATTATAGAGGATGTAGCTTAACTCCTATTTTAAAAGAAACTGTAAAATGTGAAAGGTTTTATTTCTATAATTTGAAAATGTTTGGCATACTTGATGCTTTTGCAGTGTTTAATGCTGTATGTGTGTGTGTATGTGTCTGTGTGTCGTCTGTGTGTGTGTGTATGTGTATGTGTGTCTGTTTGTGTCTTCGAGGCTGGATGTCAAGCCCAGGGCTATGTGCATGGTAGACAGAGGAGACCTCTGCCACTAAGCTGTATCCTAAGCCCTATAATGGGTATTCATGTATGTATGTTTGTATGCTTATATCTCTGTTGTAGTGCCTGGCAAGTACATGTCTTTAACTTCCTCGAATGTGAATGTATATAAAACATCCTTTTTGTGGAGAGATATCATTGGCAAGCAAACGCCTCTAAGTGAGAGGTGAGGGTGGAGCTGGGACTCTACTTTGCTTCATTTTCTCCCAGTGTTGCTTTGTTGGCATGAGCTCTACTACACTGGACAGATTTTAGGGTTGAAGGATAAAATGTGTGACCCCCACTTGTGAAACACTGACACACAGTAAATAGTCTTTTGAAGAGCACTTTAACATAAAGCCTCATGGCTACTCTGACTTTATGGGTATGATTTTAGAACATAACTCCCCTGGAAGTTACAGGAACACACACTTATACGGGCACCACACCCAGCCCACACACATGGGACAGACCAGCCTTCACTCTACCTGCTATTAAGGAAAGAAAATATATCTCATTACTATAACTAGCGCATTAGAAGTCTTTTGAACACATCAGCTGTATCATGTCAGCAGTCTTTGATATTTTTACTTCATTTATTAAGATAACTTAATCAGTTTATGTGCTCCAGATTTGTTGTATAACATTATAGTACAACTTCTTTTCATGTTTCTACCAGAGTCCTACTACATTTACTCAGACTTTGTTAAATCAAATGGTAAAGATGTCTGCTAATGCAGTATTGCTCTGTGGCCAGGATATACGTGGGTTTCCTGGGAGGTAGGATGTCTCTCTCACGAACTCATTTCTGTGATCAGTCCTTAATAACAGAGTCATCTGTAGACTGAAATACTTGTAATACTGGTATTCGGAAAGGTGTAGTTGTTTATGCAATAAATTGGTCCCCTAGTGGGAAGTGTTGGTTTGCACTATTGTGAAGGGGGTCCAGATCATTCTTAGTGTGGGCCTGTGCTGTGTCTCGGAGGATATTTAGCCACTTTACTGACTCTGCCTACTCCATACCAGTAGCCTTCCTGCCCCACCCAGCTGTGGCAACCAAAAATGTCTCCAGAAAATGTCAGGTGTCCCTTGGGACCAGTTTTCCCAACTAATACCCATGACACTAAAGTAATAAAGTCATTTATTTTGTAAGTACTAAGTATATATATGCTTTCTGATGGTCGTCTTTATGAAGTAGATTTGATAGAAAAAATATTTTATTTATTATTTTTATTTTATGTGCATGCGTGTATTGCCTGCATGTATGTAAGTCTACCCATGTGGCGCAATGCTTGAGGAGGTCAGAAGAACGCCTTGGATTCCTCTGCAACTGAAGTTGTGAATGGTTGTTAGCTGCCATGTGGTGCTGGGACTCAAACTCAGGTCCTCTACAAGAGCAGCGCTCTTAACCACTGAGCCATCTCTCAGCCCCTATAAAACTAATCTTCAAGTGTCACATTTCAACTTTTAAATTGTTCTTAAATGAACTCACTCATCTCCAACTAAATAATCTGATGTGAATAGCAGTTATCACCTGGGAATCTGGGCGACCGGAGTGACTAGAATCTGAAAGGTCTGAGTTCAGTGGGAGTTCCTGAAATAAGCTCTAGAGAAAGCAAATGCATCAAGTGCAAAATGATAACTTATTTTAGGAACGAGGTGAACTTCTTGGCTCTCCAGCCCTCTCCTTCCTACCATCCCAGAAATACTCGGAAAGGTGATGGGCCTACCAGGGAGGCTGTGGCCCTTTGAGGTGCTGAGAACTGCTTCTGGGACCTTCCAGCTATGGGATTTTTTTTTTCTTTTTTTCATCTCCTTCAGTTGAGACTCAGTGCAAGGCTTTGGATGTCTTATAATTTCTTCATTGTTGCCCTGTGGCCCAGATGTCCCCCAGAGAGGTAGCTGAAGTACAGGAAGCCCAGGCCTTACTGAAGGCTGTCTCACTGCGGATCTAGTTACCAACGTCATGTCTGCCTACTTGCAACTCAATCTCAGGGTGCTCGTTCTGGTTTTTCCCCCGTTTGTATTGACAGGAGTTGACTCACTGACGTTTGACCTTGTGACTTCTCATGTGTTTTATCAGGTTGCAGCATCTGCCTTTGTCCCTGACCACCTTGAAGTTAAAGGCTCTGTGGTTATCTGACAACCAGTCTCAACCTCTGCTCACATTCCAGACAGACATAGACCACAGCACAGGGGAGAAGATTCTAACTTGTGTCTTACTTCCTCAGCTGCCTTCTGAAGCTACTTGCCAAGGTGAATCTCACTTCCGGGAGCATTCCCATGGCCACCACAGTGACTCGGAGCTAAGGGCTGCCTGCCCACAGGCCGCCTTTCCCATGTCTCTTGTTTGAGCCAGCCCGGGTGCGGTAACTGTAGGGCTACTCTGGAAAGGTACATCCTCAGAGGAAAAAGTTGCTAATGTTTATCATGTCTGAGATTCTGAAAGCAGCCTTTTGGTTTTGAATTATAGTAAGGCCAAAAATGTAATGCCCATAAAAATGGTAACTTGCTAAAATTCAAACTGAAGCTGGAGGATCCACAGATATCTCCACTGAGTTATTTTGAGTCATTTTATCTTTGTTTTGTAAATTTTGTGATTTTAAAAAATAGTCACACAAACATCAGAATGCTGGGATAAATCCTTTGCTTAGAGAGCTGGGTTTGTTAAGCACCGGTATGCCCTGGGAGACTGAGTCCCCAGAGTGAAAGCATTCCAGATGATCTTGCCAGTCCCTTGTGTTAAGAGGAGAGCTGTTAAGATTCTCAGATAAAGTGTAGCAGGGTGTCACCAGAGAAGGTGCCAGCCCTCACTGCTGCAGCCCACCACCATGAAGTGCTTACGCAGACAGAGCGATAAAAGGACTCTTCCTGAAATGTTGTTAACGTTCTATAATGAAGCATTAGGCATATTAGTTGAGCAAATAGTTTATATGATCTCAATGAGAGGTAAATGTCATTAAAAGGGGTGATTCTACCCAGGGCTCTTTGCTCTTTGTTTTACTTGTTCACAAATAGCAAAGGTTTGGAGGTTTGAACAGTGGCCTATCCTTATTCCTGGTACTGTGGCTCTCGTACATTCTGATCCGTCAGCCACTCAGTTACCACATAGCTGTTAGCAGTTGCATGCTGGCATTCCTTGATGTGCCCTTGTCACTGCAGAGAATCTGCCTCGCTGTGGTGCACTGGAGAGCTTGGTCCATGATGTCTCGGACGAAGCCTGGAATGACCGTGCGGTACACAGAGTCAGTGCAATCCGGTTTGTGGAGGATGAAAGAGATGAAGAAGAGAACGAAACGGTATGGAGATGGGGCGTCTAGAGTAGACATCTTCTGAGATTGACAGTTACAAGGAATGTGGGTGTTCTCTGTTTTCATTTGAATATTTTCTATTTCACCTTTCAATATTTAAAAAAATTTTAACTTAGGAAACAACTACTTCTAGGCACTGAGTCACAAAATGTAAATAAGCAAATAGCACTTTGAGTTACATTTATTATGTTAGGACTTGAAAAGTCTTCCCATCTTCACTGTGTTTTTCCTTAGAGTTGGGAATGCCCCCGTTCTGACCTGTGTGAGTAATGTCTTTTGTCGTCCCCAGCCCTGCTCAGGACTGAACCTTGTTGACTCCATTCACATGTTATGAGGTGACTCAGTACCAGACTTCTTTCCTTTTAGCATACCAGGCCACCTTTGCCTTCATGGGGAATCTTGTGATCTTAGATGAACCACCTTGACAATTTCCATTCAGAAATCAGAAGTATGTCTGAAAGGCCTACACTTTTGTTCATATTTGAAAATGTCTTTCAGATGCTGCATGTCTCCGCTTTTAACTTCCTACTGGTTTACAGGGGCTTTTTAAATTCCTTGTACAACTGGGATTTTTATCAGCAGTGCTTGGAAGGAGTGCCTGCAGCCCCCCAAACAAAGGGTGGCTTGAAATTATTGCTGCAGTCTTTGTTACTTGGTGATCCAACTGTCAGCAGTTGGGACTTCAGGCATTTGCCGAAGTAGGGGACATAATGGGAATTAGGGACAATAAAGTAAGTTCGAGGTCAGTATCTCTCTAATGCTCATCAGAGACTTTTGAGTGTAGTTATTTCGGTAGTTGTTTTATTGCCTCAGTGGTGTTCCTTGCTGACCTGATGTGTTTCCTCTCCAAACTTCAGGGTAGGTCATTTGAAACATAAATGCTGCTTTATGAGACAGTGAGTCATATATTAACTAATTAGGAAGTCCTACGCCTGCCGACCCTGGTACTGGAGTCTCGGCACTGCAAGTGTGGACATCCGTCAGTAGAGCAGATGCACAGCACAAGCCACCTCGGAGGCTTTGCTGTGTTCCTTTTTCTTCAACACCCAAGCTTCAAGGGTTGAAAGAAACCAGACCCATCTGGGGTCATAGTAAAACAGTCTGGTAAACTTAATCTAGGGTTTTTTTCTTCCTGTAGAGCCCATAATTGTATCTTAAATATTGTTATCTTCTTTATGTTCATAGAAACAATTTTATTTTACACAAATATTTTTAAATGTGTTCCTTTACTCTAAAAGTAATTCATCCTGTCATGACAGTGTAAGTCACAGGAAACACTTTGATGTTCCATTAGCTATCAGTGAACAGTTGGTAAATGTACATAGCTGTGAAGGGACCTCCTCCCCCCAGCTCATGATTTCTAAAGTTGTAAGATTTGTATTGGAATGCTAATGCCTCAAAGCTGCGTACTTTGAAAAAGTAACAGGATAAAACCAGAGCACTCATCCTACTGTTTGTTTTCAGAGAACGCTTCTTCGGAGAGCCACTCCACACCCAGGGGAGTTAAAGACCATGAGAAAGACAGTGGAGAATTTGCGGAACGATCTGAATGCTGCTAAGGGACTGGATTCAAACAAAAACCAGGTCAATCATACCACTGACCGAGTGACCACCTCCGTGTAGAACCGCACCTCCCACCGAGTGACCACATCTGTGTAGGATCTCACCTCCCAGTTTGCCTGCTCCATCTTCCCTGTTGTGGAGATGTCCTATGCTCCTGAGGAGCCTCAAGCAGTCCTTCAACTTCACCATCCCCGTTCTGGGATGCTGCTCTCTCCCAGAAAGTGCCTTACTCCTCCCTCAGTCAGTCATCACTCCTGCAGCCTCCCATCCTAGTTGTTTCTCAAATTTCAGTTGTTAATAATAAGTAGAATACACTACTGTCAACATCTGACCTTCATTTCTGTCTTATGTTGGGGTAAGGGAGAGCAGAAAGTGGAATTATCCTCTTCCCCTCCATTAAGTACTGGACATTTTGAACCTAAGTACTCACGGACCTAAGGATGGGAGGAGGCTTTATGTATGGGGAAAATTGATACTTTTTTAACCTTTTTGGCAGCTCAGATGGTGTAAATTTAAAACTTTTGTATAGGTCTTTCATAACAAAACTTATGTATTTCTTTGTTATTTTATCTGGAAGACGGTACATATTTTCGTATTTGCGCAGAAAAACAAACGAGGCCTAAAGTATTTGTTTTCATTTGTACCGTCCACTGCGTGCCTTACTGTGTCCTGTGTCCTGTCAGGACAGTTGTAGACAGTTGTAACCAGTGTGTCTTTGAGCAGGGAGATGGGAACAGGAATGTGGTCATTTTAAAAGTGTTGCATTTTAATCAGTAATTTACCAGGTAGATTTGTTTGTTAACCAAAAAGGTGAATTTATCAATGATTTATAAGTTATATCAGGTATTTCTTCGAAAAGATGAACCAAAGGGTTAGACTGCTGATACTTCACTTTAAAGACTCTCTTTTAGTGACTAAATCCTAATGAGTGCAGTGTCAGACTGCCTACTCCAAAGATCTGTGCCATTTGTATAATGACGTAGAGCAAAAATCCACAGAAGGAGAAAACTGGTTCAGAAATTCAGTGGGGAAATAGATTATGTATTGCAAAGGAATGATTCTTGCTGAAGAAAGCTTTAAAAGTTTTATATTCAGATAAAAAAAAAGACCACAATAAAGCAAAATAACCTACTACCATAATAGAAATGTTGCTATCGTTATACAAGTGCAATTTAATTTGTAAATAGTTTGAATCAAATTATAACAAAACACTGCTTCAAGATTTAATTGCAGTCTGCTAATTTAAGGGGTAAGGGTATGTTTTAATGTGTTTCTGTTGTTCTCTTTTTTTGTATGCTGTCATAAAAGAGAAGTTCAAAGTGCCGGTCACTATGTGGTGTCTGGGAAGATCATGTGGCTTTCGGGGAGGGAGGGCATATGAGCTTTTCTTCAGGAAATAAACTCAGCCTGATGTCAAAAGTCACACAGCTTTTTAAAAAGTGTTACTTTGTGTCTTTAAAACGATAGTAGGTAACTAAGTTTTTTGACAACCCATTTCTGTCCACTAAGTATCCAAGTTACTAGTTAATTTTGAGTGGCCCCTGTGGTATTTGGAGGCATGTGCCCCCACAGGACAGGACCCAAAACTGTCTGCATGGATCCTGTGTTGAGTTGTGGCATCTGGCCAACTGGACTTCCTGGAAACCAACCAAATGCTATAGCTTCTCTTCCGTACATGTAGTTTGTGTTCCTTAATATTCTAAGTTGTGTGTGCGTGCGTGCGTGTGTGTGTGTGTGTGTGTGTGAGCGCGCGCGCGCGCGCGCGTGCATCTTTGGATCTGAAGGTACATGACACTTAAATGGTTTCCAGCTTTGCTGCCTCATCTGTGGGATGCATTTTCATTGCTCCATTTTAAGGTTTTGATATCCCCTGATTTTAAACCTATAAACATGGCTTTATTTGAGGAGAATCATCTTGATTGTGAAAAACATTAAAAAAAAAAAAAAAAAAACTTGTCCAGTGTGTTTTGTTTGCAGTTTTCATACAAAGGTCAGTTATTTGCCACATAATTTTATCCTAGCTTTACTGAACTGATAGAGGTGGAGATAGAGACTCATACAGAGATCGGCTCCCACACAGATGGGGCGAGGGGAGAGGAGACAGTTTAAATTTCTGTAGGAAATGCTGTGTGCCTAATTATTTGCTTCCTTTGAACTGTTTTTTTTTATTCCGTGTTCATCTGGCTGTTTTGGGTTTTTGGTTCAAGTGTTATTTCTTCATCTTTTATGCTTGCTGACTCTGTGATGCTCTTTAACTTCGTTCGGGATGGTGTATCTGAACTTAATTGACTCACAGTGGAGTCAGCGCCAGTTCAACAGCCCAAGTCTGAGGATGTGCCCAGCTTTTTTTAAGGGTGGAAATTAAATGAAAGCATGGTTTCCAGTGCCCAAAGCTCCTGATCTTTTGCTCAGGGACAGTGTTGAACAGCTCTGATAGCCACTGTTCTCCCTGCCCGGTCCTTCCTGTAGGAAAGGGTGGAGTACAGTCTCCCCCTATTTGTCCTGTGGCAATAACAGGTAAAAACAGGAAAGGATGATGTTAAGTAGGAGCTCTTCATCCACTTTTCCCCCACAACCCTTTATTTCCTCTTTCAAGCAAGGAAGTTGTATCTAAATGGGTAAGATAGTAAAATATAAATGAATGAGTAAATAACCCTAGAGGGGAGGAAGTTGAAGAAGTCATTGGTAACAAAAAGAGGGACCGTAAAGAAACTGCAAAGTGATTAGCCACATGTTGGTTTTCCTCTGGAAAGTTTGGAGGAATATTGGTGACCAATCAGTTCTGTCTGAAAGTTCATGAGCTGGTTTCTGTGAGGGCAGAAACATCATCCCTGCACAGCAGGCCTGCAAGCCATCAACTGGGACATTTCCATGCGGAAGAAGAATAGTGAATGGGATGGGTGAAAGGTGGGGAAAAATTCTTTCTGTGTCAGAAGGATGCTCTGAAAAGCCAGTCCCATCCCTGTGAAACTGCCAACCCTGTGCCTAGGGCACCCTGACCTGTATATGGTGGGGACTGTGCACCACTGTGCACCAGAGCTGCCGATGACAAGGGAGGATGCAACTTAGTAACCACCCTCAAAGAGTTGAGATCTCATTTCACCAATTAGTGCGGACTTACTTCACCCAACTTTCCTAAGAGCCAATTAAAACAATGATTTAAAATAATACCCATCTTTTTTAATTGTGGAAAAGTTCAAGACATCCACAAGTAATGCCTGTCATTCACCTTCAACCAGTATTGACACAAGACCAGTAGCTTATCCTTTTTAAAGGGACCAAACTGTGTTTTAAAATACACCCAGGAAAAAGATGACTGCATAATGGCATAATTTAAGAACAAAGAGCGGGTGTACCCTTTAAAGTAGGACTTTATATTTAGTTTTGTAGACAGTGGGTTTGAGTTCCAGCCATGCCATGTGGATTTGAATTAGGCTGTTTAGCTTCTTACGCCTCAAAGGAAGACTAAATGGAGTGCATGGAACACAGGCTGCCAGGAAATGGATGGTTACTGTCATTACATGTCCTGCTACTACTACAGCAATGTCATTAGGAGCTCTGTAATCCCTACTAAGGATGTGTGACCAGGAAGGGCAGTGTTCTCAGGAACAAGAGCACATGCTACTGCGAGCTTAGCACAAAAACTCTTCTATGGTTTTCTATACAGGCCACCAAGTTATGTAATGTGTAAGGAGGTTTTGTTGCTGTGTAACCCAGTCTTGCCTCAAACTGGCGATTCTCCTGTCTCTGCTCACCTAGTGCTAGAATTTTAGGCATGCACTGCCATGCCCAGTTCTGGTGAGGAGAATTTTAATTTGCCCAGTGAGTTTATTTAATAGGTTAGCAATGGTCTCTGCCAAACTCTTCATTTTACCTGGGCTTAATGACTACCCTTAAGATAGACTGGTTTCTACCAGTAAATTGTTGAATACCTAATAGAGAAAAACTATTTCCTTTGCCACTCAATGTCTTGTTGCTATGGCCCCTGTTTCCTTGCTAGAGGCTCTGGGGCTCATTTTCTGCCTTATCTGGACTTTGTTTAACCTTCGATTTTTGTGATTCTCTCCCTTTTCACAAGCTGTGTTCTTCCTCAAAGGAGACCAGAGGCTCGTGTGGATCAGCAGGAACAAGTAGCTTTAAAATGCATATCAACCATGGAGAAAAACGTGCTGGAAAAAAAGTGCAAGTTTTTGCAGCCTGACCTGGGGAGGGCAGAGCCGGCTGGGTCTTGCTCAGTGTTTTCTTCTTTTAAAGGCAGACAGCTGGCTGGAAAGGGAGCCTAACCAGTAGAACCTGACGTGGCTACTTTTGTTCAACAGGCTGCATGAGGGTTTTTGTTCTTGTACATTGGACAAAAGGACTAGAATTTTAAACCATTCAAGCAGGCAGGTGTTCTCTTTGACAGGCACAGACTCTGGTAGGGTTGATTCCCCCTTCCTTATCAGTCAGGAGATATGTGGCTGCCATATCCTGAATGCTCGTCAGGTACCCCACATGAAGGTACTGAACACAGTCCGTTTCCAGAATGACCACATAAAGTAGATTGCATTTCCAGAATTAAGATTCAACTAATTTTATAAATTGACCAAGATCAAACAGCAAATGACAAAGTTGAAATTTCAGTCTGCCTCTTTGTTGACTAGCGTCTGTAATTCTAATTACTCATTTTGTTTTGCTTCCCTTCCCAAACCACAGCTGTGAAGCTGTAATTACATGTGTGGTTGTATTTGTGGTACTGTTGATGGTTCTGTTTTAATGTATTGAGGCCCACATTATGGACAAACACTGCCATGGAACTGCATGGGATTGGTACAAAGCTGGGCCCTTGTTTCATCTAGTTCTGGTTTCCCTGCCCAACTCCCAGCTACACTAGTTACTGGTGTCTGATGTCAAGTGCTGTGGAAATGCTCCTGGAGTTGGTCCTCAACCATCTTGGGAGATAACCTACATGGTTAGTGAATCACCAGAAAAAAATGAATGTTTCCACATTACCTAGAGTGACAGACAGCGTAGGAACCTGCTCTCAGAGAGACTGACCTGTCCCCAAATTTGGAAGCTCACTCTACAGTGAGCCAATTAGTTAGTAAAGGTTTGTTACTGTTTTTGTTTGTCATCCTCATTCTTTAAGTTTCTCTTGGAGGAAAACAGATCCTGAAGACTGGGAAATCTGTGCTGATGTAGCTTGACCTTTATGCAGTTTGAGGGGTAAGAAAGGTGACTCAGTGTTTCTCATTCAAAACCCTCCTTTGAAGAAGAATTGCTGTGAATGATGTGACGAATAGAATTGCTCTTAATCAAAGAAGCAGAAGCAGGTAGAAAACACGCATGACGAACCAGCCTTCAGCTTTCTTTGAAACTGGCTTTACTGCTTGATGGTAGAAATAGAAAGTCTGCTACAGTCTCCACAGGGCAAGTAAACCAGACTTGCACCCGGGTGCAGTAGGGTAGCACCCTCTACCCTATCCTGCATACACCCCGAGAATACAAATGCTGCTTTAGACATTTTCTCAAATTAAACTTATAAACCATGTTTTATTGTTTTCAATAAGTAGTTTGCAAAAAGTTACCCAAGCAGCCTACACTCAACACCTGAAGAAAATATTGAGTGGAAGTGGGCATTTCTGTTCCGTGTGCAACCCGGTCAGGCTCACACATGGGACTGTTGCTTGCAGCCCTTCCTCCAGCTGTAGGTGTGAGTGCTTGTTTGTCTAAACCTTGCTCATCACTGCCTAGAAAAACAAAACAGCAGGCTTCTAGTCCAGGCATTGAAAGTTCTTCCTGAATTTTTGCCCTGCCCACTGGCCCAGAGGCATAATGGGTGGGGTGAGTTTCGGTATTAGTTTGGGAAGTTTCGAGAACAGGCTGTGGGCTGGGTCTGCTGGTTTAGGGTTGCCTGTGCATTTAATCATTTTGGGCCATCGGAAGGTTGGGAGCATTGCTACAGATGGCTATGGGGAGGTCATGCCTCCTGTGCTG